GAATCTAATCTATAGGAAATAACATTCAGTTCAACTTATACAGAAGCTTTCCCTTTTCCCTCTCTAACTCAGAACACTAACAAGTAATACTGTAAAGTAGGAAAACTACTTAAATCTCAGCTTCCCTGAAGAGTTTATATTTGGCATACTAGAGATATTTCCAACACCATTCCTTAAATTCCTCTAAAGACCTCTCCCACTTACAGCAGTATTTGCCCAAGTCTTCAATAAGGTCTTTTTCTTCACAAGCTTCAATATTCTAAGTTACTTGGAAATAGTGATGGAAAAAAAAAAAGTGCAAAAATAGTTTTAAGAACTCTCATGCATTCCCCTAATCCACCTCCAAAAAAAAAAAAAAGGTACATATCACTGAAATCCACCTTTATTATAAAAAACATTCTGAGATCATCTCACACATTTTTCCTTAAAAAAAAAAAAAAAATCCATGGGCCTCCCCCAGTGGTGCAGCAGTTGAGCGCTGGGTTGTGAAGCTGCCTGCAGCCTCTGCAGCGCCAGTTCAATCCCCAGCCGCCGGGGAGGGTTCCACATGGCGCGCAGACCTCTCCTGCCACCTGCTGCGCCCCTCAGCAGTGTTATTTCGTCCATCTGCCTGTTCTGTTCCCCGCTCTAGCTCTGGTGAATTCTCTCACCCTCCTGCACTTCTGACTGTACCCAGTGCTTGTATAAATAAATAAATAAATCTTTAAAAAAATACACAGTCTTCTGTAATCAATCTGTATCTATAATTACATTTATTTAAGTCCTCTCTTGCTACATTTAACCAGTGGTCCATTTAGAAAGGTACGGGAAAAATAATGAGTTACTTTTATGTGCCAGACTCTCTATTAGCTGCATCACAAAAAAGTGTGAAAGATGTAAGGTTTGAGGCCAGTTCTGCTATTTGTTAGTTGTGTGATATTGATATTAAGGACACTATTCGAAGACTCTCAATCTTAATGTCAACATCTTGAGATTGGGGATAATAACAGTAACTTCATTGGATTTCTGTGGGGTTTAAACTCGCTAATGGTTGTAGTATAGGCTTAGAAACCACAGCTGGCACCTAGTGGTAGCTACCTATAGCCAGAGCCAATAAAACAGAACTAAGAACCAGAACTGTTGTAGGAAAGAAATGTTGGCCAGAATTCCTGGCAAAGAGCTGAAGAATGAATCAGTACTCACTCAAGAATCCTCAGCATTGGGTCTGCATCCATTTGGGGAAAGGTATGGAGAATTATTAGAGAGAAGCCTCGGGGCAGACTGGTCCTAACACAAAACCAAAGGTTATGGATGGGATCAGACTGGCCTCTGGAATGCAATATTGGAGTCAAGTTGGCATGGAGAAGCAATGCAATGGGTTTGCTTTGAAAAATATGCCATATTATATAAATTATTATTATTACATACATACACATATCTAACACACACAGATACCTACCCTTAAGCAGAGATGGATTTGTGTTTCAAGGCTGAATAAGAGAAGATGGAATAGGTGAGTGGGTGAGTATATCAGAAAAAGCAAGGAATGTGGTAATAAAACTAGATTAGAGACGCTATATAGGGTGATTGCTAGGCATTCAGACTGTTAAAACAGATTGCCTGGTTATATCTTCACCTCATCATTTACTTTTTTGGCACAAACTAAGGCAAATAACTTTCATGTGCCAAAGTTTCCTCCTACATAAATATGGATAATATTATTACCTACCTCATACGGTTGTTTTAAGGATCAAAAAGTTTATATATATAAAGTATTTAGAAGATTGATCAAAAACATCAGTTCCCTAATCTGTGAAATGGGGACAATAAAATTCATTAGCACACAGGTTGTTATAAGAATTAAATAAATCATATCTATAAAGTGTTTAGTGCATAATAAATCAATATTAGATGTTTTAATTAAAATATGGAAGGGTACCAAAATGATTTTTAATCTAGAGACAAATATATCTTAATGGAATATACAAAAAAAAACTGTAAAAATTGTTTTTCATTTTGGTGTTGAGTATATCTACTGGGAAACCATGAGTAAGTTGGCATGCTTATCCACTTTCCACTGGACAAAAAACATCTGAATAATTCCATCTTTTAGCTCTGTCAAAGGACGTTAAGTCACACATACAAAATATAGAAGACCAAGGGAAAAGAAAGAGGACGCCACAACTAACATAGCAATTTTGAAATAATATCCCTCTCACTACTCATTCACTAACACGGAAATTCTAATGACACAAATTAGTAATCTATTTATAGTCTTATCGAAAAGAGTGACTTCAAACATTTTTTTAAATGGATACTTATGAGGAAATGTGTTACAACATGCCTTCTAAAGAACAAAACAACTGTCATAAAATATAAAATTTAAAGATCAATACTTCGAGCTAGTTCAGAAAGAAACTAGGAGAGGTTAGAATTTCAAGGGAACCGAGACAATGCTGAGGAGACTGTGTGGATGCCGTGCCACCCCACTCCCAGCAACGTGCCACCCCACTCCCAGCAACGGCTGGGACGTGTCCAAGAGGTTTAGGCACAAGGATATAATTGATAATCAGGATAAAATCATTATATGGGGTTGCATGGTTGTGGAAAATACCAGCCAGCTCACAGTCTAATCTGGGGAAGTTTTAGAGAGGAGAGCAAAAAATAAATGTGAGTTGCTAACTTTGAGTCAGAATAATCTTCCCCAAGTTGAAAATATTTGAACTGGGATTTTTTTAGGCTATCATTTTTATTCTTATAGTGATAAATAATACAAATTAATTTGGGGGATTCAGACCACAAAACCTATTCCTGGGTCGCTCTTTCTGACCCAAGTGAAAAGGATAACTTTATTCTTTCTACCTGAAAGATGTTAAAGGACAAAAATTTTAAATGATGTTTATGAAAGTTTAAATGGAACACTTTATTGGATTTTATTAGACTCTTTCTGTGCCAAGAAATTCTTGGCTAGCAATGGAAGGTAGATTTAAGGTCTTTTCTTGGAGATGTGCTCTGTGTACCAGTCTCCATCTCAAAAGGATTGCACAACTAGAGTTTAAGAAACCACCTGTAAGTTCTTCTGATCGGTACTGAATGACTATTAATTTCATTTATCCATCCATCTAGTCAGCACTGTTCAACAGAAATATAACATGAACCATATGTTAGTCATACACATAAATTTAGAATTTTCTATTATCCATGTTAAAAAAGTAAAAAGAAATATTTCCTATTTAATCTGATACCTAGTATATTATCATTTTAACCAAGTAATCAATTCACTCATATAAATATCTTGCTGAGATATTCTGCATTCTTTTTTCATACTAAATCTTTGAAATCCAGGGTGTATTTTACACTTGTGACATATCTAAATTTGAACTCTTCTCATTTCAAGTGCTCAATAGCTACTTGTGGCCAGTGGCTGCTGTACTGGAGAGTGCAGGTCTGGAATTCCCATTGTCTGGAAATAGGAGCATGGATTGTCTTGTTCACAGATGCAGCACAAGGAACAGTGTCTGACTTATCCAAAGAAGATAAACAGATGGCCAATAGGAGATGTTCCACATCATATTTCATTAGGGAAATGCAAATCAAAACCACAATGAAATATCACCTCACACCTGTGATACCAGCCACAATAAAAAACACAAGAAACAAAAAGAGATGGTGAGGATGTAGAGAGAAGAGAACCACTGTATACTGCTGGTGGGGATGAAATTGGTGCAGTTACTATAGAAAAGAGAATGAAGATTTTCCTCCCCAAACCTGTACAATTCAGTTGTATTGCATTTCTGGGTATTTACTCAAATACAAAAACACTAGTTCAAAGAGTTGTGCACCCCATGGTTATCATAGCATTGTTCACAATAGCCAAGGGTTGGAAACAACCTAAGTGCCATCAAGAGAGGACTGAATAAAGATGTGGTATATGTATACATACACACACACACACAGAATGGGATACTATTCAACTATATAAAAAAAAAAAAAAAACCATGAAATCCTGCCATTTGCAGCAACCTGGATGGACCTAGAAGGTGAAATAAGTTAGAAAAAGACAAATACCATATGATTCCACACATATGGGTGCATGAGAAAATAAAGCCAAAAAATGAACTAAATAAAACAAAAATAAAGTTTTAGACTGTAAGACCAAATTAGCAGTGACCAGAAGGGAAGGGGAGAAGGAGGTGATGGGTAAATCAGAAGGGTCAATTGAATGGTAAAGGATGAAATTAGGCTTTTAGTGGAGAACATAATGTATATATACAGATGTTGATTTATAATAATGTACACCTGTAGCCTATATAATTTATATACCAATTTTACTTGAATTTAAAAAATTAATAAAAATTAATGTATAAAAATAACAGTGTCTGGCACATAATCAGTCCTCAAAGAATATTTGTTGAATGAATGAGCAAATGAAAGAATCCATTTATACATTTTATACACATATATACAAAAAAAATTGTGACTTAAATGAAAACTAATTATATGATTAGAAGTATTAAGAGAAGCATATAATTACTTTAAACTCAATTCTAGGCCAGATGATCATTTAGTGATATACAGTCAATACAAATTTCCAAATAGATATATACTTACAAATACAGTATAAACACATTTAACTATCAATAGGGAACATTCTTCTATAATCACTTTAAACATGATTTTCCTAAACAGTTAGTGAATCAAAATCCTGTCACACTCCTTTAGTAAAATCAAGTAAATTATAGCTTTTCTCTCTGGAATGAATAAACTCCACATTCATCAAATAGACACAATTCATACATGTTCCACTAGTATTTGCAAATTTTTTTTTGTTTTAATGTCTAATCCACTCTGTAACTGATAAAAGAATATGCCAAATATATCTAAAAACCCTGACAAACACTAAATTATACTCATTGTTTTAAAAAAGTTTGTCTCCTAAAAGTGGTAGGATTACTTAATATAAATAAAATAAGCTCCAAGTAACTGATGTTTAATAAGAAAGGTTAGGGAGAAAAGCTTACCTTCTCTGCTAAGAGCTCTCTAATCTTGCTTGCTTGAACTCTAAATTTCATGAGCTGGGACTCCAGGGCTACACATCTTTCCTTCCAGTCTACTGGTCCTTCTGTCTCAGAAAGCTCTGCCATATTTATTCTACAAAAGAACACATTCAAATGGTATAATACCAATTAGCATTCAGGATAATTCATGAAATCACCCAATGTATGCATTCTAGTCACCATCTAATGATTTCCAGATACAAGTTTTGAATTCTAAAATAAATTCCAGAACCAGTTACAGCTTACAGAAAAGACTTGCTAGGAGACAGGAAGTCAGGTTTGAAGGCCCAACTTCTTACTTAATTTTTCTATGTAATTTAAACTGTCTCTGTTTCAGTTTACCCAATCTAAAAAGGGAGGGAGTGCTGATAATAGCAAACTATTCTTCTTCAAGGGTATATTGTGAGGAAGTAATTAAATATTGTTGTTTTTAACAACACTTTGGGCAGTGTAAGAATAGCACAATACACAGGCTGCTATTATTATTTTAGCTCTGCCCAATGGATAAGATTTTTTAAATCTACAAGCTCATAATTTTACCAGACTCTCAAATTTACAGATAGCATAATAGGATATTCCTAGCATGACAGGATAACTTAAATAAAATTTGTACCAGTGCTGTAATTAAGGCTCAGATTTTTATTACAACTATTACTTGCCACCACTTTAAATCTATCTTTCAAACTAAAAATCCCTCAGCATATATAACTGGGCAAAACGTTATGACCCTGGACAAGTTTGCATGATTTTTATTTGGTGCAAGAAGAGAAAACATATAAATATGAAATTTGGAATGACATTAACTCAATCTGGAATCAGCATTTTCCATGATATTAACTTTCCTTTTGGAGGTAATTAATCCCAGGGAGAAGCACTGTAAGGAGAGGCCAGGAGAGGGGACCTATTTTTGAAATTCTAAAATGCAAAAAACTATTAATGGATTGTTTCTGACTCTGGGATTCAAAAAGAATTTTTAAGTGTTCGTTAGTGTTTTATCAAGCCATTTTAATAAAGGACTTGATTAAGTATCTCCAATCTGCACTTGCTATGCACTAATAAAATTTGTCTTAGGAGCAGATACCCCAGAGAAGCCAAGCCCTAGTCATGGGATAAACATGACAGCTAACTCTTCAACTTGGGATGGCTCTAAAGTTTAAGTGTACTATTCTGTTCTTTTGCTTTACAAAAATAAGTGTCCCTCACATATTAACCGAGTTATTTTCCCAATATTTAGTGTAATATAAGCCTTTCCTAAACCGACACCAGTTTTGAAAAATTTTCATTTCAGTAAACATCCACAAGTGATTCTTTTCCTAGCATAAGTAATATTTTTTATTTAAAACAATTTTCACATTGATACTAATAGTATCATTCAATAGCTTAGAAATACATATAAGTTGCATTATTCTGCAAAGGCCACAACTTTGTTAAGAGAACACTCATTACCTCATACTTCCAGGTGCTTCTAAATTCTAGAGATTTCTTATGGGAAACAAATCATTCTCTTTTCTTTTTTCATTTCTTTGTTTTTATAGAAGTTTTCTGAGTTTTTTCTCCTAAGGACATTAACTTTGTTAATGAACTTTTTTATAACCCATATTTGCATTTATTAATACTATTAGTAATTCATCTTAGCATTTATTATCAATGATTTAAGAGTAGAGAATGCAGTCAGTGGCAACTTTTCTCAATTCTACTGCTGTTTCATTTCTCTCATTTTGAGTGGACAAGGAAAGAAAATACAAATGAAATATTAGAAAAGAAAAAGCAGTTCTGAAATAGTCATCCTTAAGTCTGGAACCATTCATATTGCTACACAGAAAGGTAAATACAGTCTTCCATCTTAAAAAACAGGAAGAGTCTGTTTCATGTTGGATCATTTTTGCTCTACATTTTAAAAACTTGTTAATGTTCTATTATAAGATTTCTATTTCTAAAAATAACATAGAGTATATATTTTTCAATAAATCAAAATCAATCAATGCAATGCACCATATGAACAGTATAAAAGACAAACCAAATCATCATCCCAATAGACACAGAAAATACATTTGACAAAATTCAACATCTTTTCATGATAAAAAAACATTCAACAAACTAGCAATAAAAGGGAGCTTCCTCAATCTGACAAAGAGCACCTACAAAAAGCCCAAAGTTAATATCATATGTAATGATAAATGACTGATCGCCCCAAGATCAGAAAAAGAGAAGGATATCTGTTTTCCCCACTTCTATTCAACATTGTACTGGAGGTTCTAGCAAGAGCAAAAAAGGAAAAAGAAACCAAATGAGAAAGTAAGAAGCAAAACTATCTTTATTTTCAGATGCCATACTCTTGTTCATAGAAACTTTTAAGGAATCTACCAAAAAAACCTCAACTTTTAGAACTACTTGATTCAGCAGGTAAACTGGATCAGTATACAAAAATCAATTGTTTTTCTATCCACTAGCAAGGAAAAACCCAAAAGTAAAGTAAAGAATGTACCATTTACAAAAGCATAAAAATTATTAAATACTTAGGAACACATTTAACAAAATAAGTGCAATACTTGTATGCTGAAAACTATAAAATATCATTGAAAGAAATTAAAGAAGAGCTAAATATATGGAAAACATCCCTACTTTTCATGGGTTAGATGACTTAATATTATGAAAATGGCATTATATGTTGAATGAGACATTTAACAATTCCTATCAAAATTTCAACTGCATTTTTGCAGAAATTGACATGTTGATCCTAAAATTCATGTGGAAATTCAAGGAACCCATAATAGACAAAACAATCTTGAAGAAGTATAGGACTCTCATGCCGCAATTTCAGAAATTACTACAATACTACAGAAAATAAGACTCTGTGGTACTGCCATAAAGATAGACACATCAATGGAATAAGAGTACAGAAATAAAACCTCACATGTTTATAGTCAGTTGGTTTTTAAAACCAGTGCCAAGATCAAACAATGGGGGAAAGAATAGTCTTTTTAACAAATGGGACTAGACAGTTACATGCAAAAGAATGAATTTGGACCCAAACTTACATCACAGAGAAAAATTAACTCAAAATGCACCAAAGACCTAAATGTAAGAGCCAAAGCTCTAGAACTCTTAGAAGAAAACAGGCATACGTTTGTATGATCTTGAATTAGGCAAGAGTTTCTTAGATATATACAGTATAAGTCACCAAAGAATAAAATCAACTGGACTTAATCAAAATTAAAAACTTTTGTGTATCAAAGGACATCATTAAGAAGGTGAAAAGAAAACCCAGAAGGGGGAGAGGAACTGCAAATCATATATCTGGTAAGGGATTTGTATCCGGAATATCAAAGGGCTCTTACTATTCAACAATAAGAAAAAAAGAAAAGCAATTTAAAAGGAGGCAAAGGATCTAAATATACACTTCCATGAAGAAGATACATAAATTGACAATAACACATGAAGATGCTCAACATCATTGGCTATAAGGGAAAATGCAAATCAAAATTACAATGACATACACTGCATACCAAATAGAATGATTATAATAAAAAGACAAATATAATAACAAGTGTTGGTGAGGATGTAGAGAAATGTAATTGGTAAACTGCTTAGGAAAATAGTTTAACAGTCCCTCAAAATTTTTAACATAAAATTAGCATATGACCCAGAAACTCCCATGCTAAGTATATATACCCAAGGGAACTGAGTACACAAATCCACACCAAAACTTGTATACAAATGGGCCTCTCCGGTGGTGCAGGGGTTAAAAACAGTGCTACCAAGCTATTGCAGCCCCTGCAGCACGAGTTCCATCCCTGGACAGGGAGCAGCAGATCCACATGGCGCAGCAGACCTCTCCTGCCTCACCCGCTGCACCCTCAGCAGTGTATTTCAGTAGATCTGCTTGTTCTGCTCCCCACTCTTTCTGGTGAATCCTCTCACCCACCCCGCACCTCTGGCTTACACCCCAGTTCTTGTATGCATAAATAAATAAATCTTTAAAAACAAAAACTTTACACAAATGTCAACCAAAAAGTGAAAAGAACTCAAGTGTCAGGTGCATGGATTAACAAAAAAATGTGGTATATACTACAATGAAATACTATTCAGTCACAAAAAAGGAATAAAGTACTAAAACATGTTACATAAAAGTATGAACCTTGGCAACATTACCCTAAACACTAAGTGAAAGAAGTCAGCCACAGAACACCTATTGTATGATTCCATTTACATGAAAGAGGTTAAATCCAAAGAGACAGAAAATGGTTTAGTGATTGCCAAGGCCTCTGAAGAGAGGATGATAGCAATCAACAACTAATGGGCTTAGGGTTTCTTTCTGGAGTGATGAAAATATTTAGAATCAGATAGTGCTAATGGTTGTACAACCCTGTGAATATACTGAAAACCACTAAACCGTACACTGTGGAAGAGTAGATTTTATGATTTGTGAATTATACTTCAATTTAAAAGAGCTTATCTTTGTAAATGAGTAAAGGAAAAGTAACAGTTTAAGTGGATATATATTAGATCAACATCTACAAACTTAATAACCCATTGTTTGTGGTTATCCCTTCCAAGAACTCCACCATTAACGCAAATAATTTAAAAGCAATGGTTAACCTCAAATATGACAAGGAAACATATGTACCAAGAGAACCTTACTATGAAAACTATACAATAAATTCTACAATTAAAAATACCCATTCATTTCTTTAGTTATGCTAATTATATATTTTATAGTGAAGTAGCAAAACCTTAATATTATTAAATGGATATTTAACATCTGCATTCCCAAGTATTAAGATCATGATTTAAAAAAATTTCAAAACTACAGATAGGTTAGCTAATAGTCAGCCCTGAGGTCTAGACACCTGATTTCCTCACTTCATTCTGTAATTTCAGTTAATATGAAGTAACTGTTGTGTTAATGCACCACCTTGAGTAAAGATTCTAATTTTGAATATTCACCATCCTTTTCCATTACCACTGATTTTACAGAATGTAACTACATAGCTTTGGGACCTCGAACCATTTGCTAAATAAATACCATTTCTGGATTTTGAATTTGAAAGTTATCTATCTTCCCTGCAGCGGGAAGAAAAAGTCTTGGTTTTCCAAATACCCCTAGTGACTTCTGGAAATATTTACCAACACAAAATAAACTGTTTACAATTGTGGAGTGAATGCTCTTTTCTCTGAATGTCTGACTTCCTGTTTCTCTTCCAACTCCCAAAAGGGAAAGAAAAAGAATAGAAAGAATTAATCTATTTAGGCTTTTACCCCAATGAAGCTCGGGGCAGCCACCCATTCTGAAATTCTCTCCTCTAAAGAGACAGCGTAATTGGACCAGGTAACTTTTGTTCCCCCTTAAGTAGAAAAGATGTCTTTCTTGACCACACTGGCATTCCTGTTTAAGAAAGCTCCTGACCACCATGTGTACCACTTGGGCAAAGTTTGCCCGGGGCTGCCCAGAACAGCCGAGCTCCAAGGCCCCTGGGGACACACCCCGCTCTGGGGCTGACGCCTGCGACTGGCACTTGCACAAAGAAAGCAGTGACCTGCAGGTAGCACAGCATCGCAGCTTTTAGGGCGTTAAGTTCAATCTGTTTTTCCAAAGTGTTTCGCACATCAAAATCTATGGCTCAAATGTTCTGTCTTTTAAAAAGAGCTCTAATAACTTCAGGGACCACAATGTTTCACGGTAGGTCACCTAAGGGCACTTTGACATTGCAGCAGCTCGAGCTGCAGAAAACAGCTCTTGCAAGTTTTGCAGAGTTTCGCCCCTGAGATCACAGTAGGGATCCCCAGACGCCGAGGCCGCGCTGCAGCATCCCTAACTTCGCCGGCCCCTCCGCGCGGGGACTTGGGGTGCCCGGGGCGCCCCCCATACGGCCCCTGCCGCGCCCAACACGCCGACCCCGCGTTTTGCAACAAAATGTCACGGAGACCAGGGGGCGAGCCGCTGCCGGCCGCCGCCCCCGGACGACCCCAGACCAGGGAGCAATCGGGGAGGCGACGTCAAGTCTGAGGACTTCGGCGAAAGCCGCGGGGACGAGGTCCCGCACCCGCCGCCTTCACTCCCCAGGTCCCTCCCGGGGGGCCGGTCCGCCGCCCCCATCCTGGGCTCCGCGAGCCCCCCGGGACGCCGCGCACTCAAGGGGGCGGGGATCCCCGGGCAGTAGAGGTACCGGGGTCGTCTCTCGGCTCCCGGCCCTTCCCATATGCCTACCTCTGCTGCGGGCCCCAGACGGCAGCGCCCCAGATCCCAGCTGCTCCGGGCGTAGGGTTCCGGGGGTTCTCAGCCCGCGCCCGCCTCACACCCTGCCCTAGGCGGGCCGGGGCCGGGCACCGCCTCCTCGCGGGAACGGCAGCGAGAGCAGCCAATGGAAGGCCGCGGCCGGCCCCCTGGCGTCATCTGGGGGTGTGGCCATGGCGCTGACTCCGCCCAGTCCGTGCGGCGGGAGGGAGGTCTGCCCTGCAGCCGCTGCCCCTCGCCTCCGCCACACCTAGAGCTCAGATCCTGTTTTAGTGGTTACCTCCTTTCCGCTCCCTCTGCCTCGTCAGGACACCCTCCCTTGGGTCTCCCAGCTTAAGTCTCTCTGCTTGCCAGTCCATCAGTGCAGCAGGTTAACTGTCTGATGTGCACCCCGCCAGACTTTCAATGACTTCTTTAAGTTTTCAAGAAAAGATTTCCTAGTCCAGTATTCAAGGTTTCCATTCTACTTCACTTCTGTTTTTCACAGATGTCCTTCACACTCCTGAGACTGCTGCTGTGCCCGTTCCCATCCTAGGGAAGTGCATTTACACCATTTCATATTTACTATCTCACCTTTAAAACTTCTGATTATCCTGTAAGAGACAACACAGTGCAAATCCTCTTCTTGTAACCACGTCTGTGGCCCCACCAAGCGTAATGTCTTTCTTGCTTCTGCTCCCTAATTATTTAGGTTTTTATTCCTCTTAGTTCATTCTGCCTTATGTACCGCTTCTTGTCTTTTCATTAGACTCTGAATTCTTTGAAACCAAGGGATTGTATTCTTTCTTTTTGCATCCTCCTCAACACTAGCACGGAGCATTGCAGAAGTACCTGAGCGATTATTTTAATATAATTGGATTTTGCATCCCAAGATGGGGTGTGGAGAGGGCAGTCTCAGGGCAAGGAAGGGAAAGTATTCTGAAGATTATGGGTAATCCTTCCCGGGGTCAAAAAGCTAGGCCAGACAATTTACTCTCTTGGTTCACAGTTGGCCAATAGAGGGTGTCAGAGGGCTTTTCCCACCACAATCTTTTTAAAATCTATCTCACCTTACATGGAAAAATCACAAAAGGATATAATACACAGAGTTCCTTAGAGGGGAGGCAATAAGTGAATCCGACTAAAAAGCTAGCAAGGGAGTATCAGGCCTCCATATTTCTTCCAGATGAGCACTAATTTTGGACTGGCTCCCAGACTACCCCCACACATCAAATTCCTTTTGCCTTCTGAGGGAGCTGATGATGCATATCATATGAAAAATTGTCTCCAAACAGCCTTGGCAAACAAGCAGGCTGGACTAGGCTTCTTTTACAGAGTATGCAGGAGTTAAATAAACAGAATTTTAGTAACTTGCATAATTTAACACAGCAAGTCAGTAGAGACCAAAGAGCTAAGCACAGGAGAAAGAAAGAATGCCAAAATAGAATCACTTCCGTTTGTGAGTCAGAATACTAAACAGACTAAGAAAGCTGAGTGAATAAAGTCACTCATGAAAAGTTTTTAAACACGGCTGGCGCTCTTCTAAGGCTCAGCCAATATTTACTTTCTGTCACCTTTTTGTAGAAAACGACAAACTAAATTTGGTTGTGGAGCATATAGTGAAGCAGCATCTTATTTCTGGCTGGGCTAAGAAAAATACATGATACAATGAAATACTATTCAGCAATAAAAATAAATGAGGTATGATAAATCTTATAATGTAAATAAACCCTAAAAACATCATACTAAGTGAAAGAAATCAGTCACAAATGAGCCCATTTACATGAAATGTCCAGAGTAGGCAAATCTACAAATACAATGTACATTAGTGATGATGAGGGATTGGGGGAGACAGGGATGATAGGTAAGTGGGGCAGGGAGGGAAGGCTTCTTTGGGGTAATGAAAGCATTCTAAAAATTTTGGTGATGATTTTACAACTCTGTGCATATACTAGAAGCCATTGACTGGCACTGTTTAAATGAGTGCATTGTATCTTAATAAAGTTGTTCGAAAAAAGAAAAATATACACTGAATTTTATGTTTTTATATTGAAAAGCAGCAATTGGAAAATGTCTCTGACCAGTCCTCATAAATGTTCATCAGAGTATGTACAATTGCTTCATAGTATTTCCTTTGTTGCAATATTCTGTTTATTTGTGATTATTTCATTGTCTGCTTTCCTCCACTAGACTGTAAGTGCCTCCACAGAAGAAATGATCTTGTTTTCCTTTTCAATATATATCTGACCTCTAGCACAGTACTTGGCATGTTGTAGGTACAAAAGTAAATACTTTTTGACTGAAGGAGCAAAGGTGGCAAGGGATATGTTTTATTAAGTTCTTAGACTAAACCAGGCACTGTACTAGGGTCTGGTTTCTGTCTTCATGGAGTTGTGGTCTAGGAGGAGAGATGCACATTCATTAACTATTCCCACAAATAAATATATAATTACAAATTGCATTAGGTGTTCTGAAGGAAAAGCACAAGGTGTTTTACAACTGAAGAGTAAGGGAATCTGACCAATTCTTTTTTTTTTTTTTTTTAAAGATTTATTTATTTATTTATACAAGCACTGGGTACAGTCAGACGCGCTGGAGGGTGAGAGAATTCACCAGAGCCAGAGCGGGGAGCAGAGCAGGCAGAAGGACCGAAGTACACTGCTGAGGGGAGCAGCGGGCTGCAGGAGAGGTCTGCGCGCCATGTGGGACCCTCACGGGTGTCCGGGGATCGAACCGGCGCTGCAGAGGCTGCGCAACCCAGCGCTCAACCGCTGTGCCACCAGGGAGGCCCGGAATCTGACCAATTCTTAAGAGTCAGCAACGCCTCTTTGATAAAATGGCATTTGAGCTGAGATTTAAATGAGGAAATTAGCCAAGCAAAAGCGAAGGGTGAATCAGAAGACCATCTCAGCAGGTGGGGAACACAGGTAGCAGACTCCACAGTGAGGCGTCGTCTGAGACATTGGAGGGACTGTACGGAGGGCAGTGAGGCAAGGGCACACTGGGGCACAAGGAGCAAGGGGAAGGGTAGAGCCAGAGGAGGCTGCAGAAGACAGCGGACCAGACTTTATGCAAGATTTGAAGAATAGGGTGTCTCAATCTTCAGTGAAGATCTTGTTAAAACATAGATCCAAACTCAACTGGCTTGGTATGCAGACCAAGATTTTGCTTTTCTAACAAGCTCCAGGGACACGTTTTGAGGAATGAAACTTTGACTACCTTATTTTGAGAGCTCTGGGAATCAACAGAAGTGTTTTAAATGGGGACATGATGAGTTCTGATGTAGTAGGCGTGCAGGGAGTGGATTAGAGAAGAGCAAGAGACCAGTTGGGGACCTGTTTTAGCCATCTTGTTGGGAACTGGTGGCCACTGGGTCCTCTCCCCAGCAGCTACAACATGGCCTACAACATGGCCTACAGCATGGCGATGGAGAGAAACAAAGCTGTGTTTTAGGAAGCTCTATCTAGCATGGTAGAGACAATAGGTAGAGACAGAGGAACAATTAGGAGGCTAAGGAATTCTGTGAAGATCATCTGTTCATGATGAGAATGAATTGGAGGCTGTGTTGTGAATTGAAAGGTTCTGGATGAAATAGGTAAAATTAGTAAACAGGGCATTAACATGCATCAGGCCAATGTTCTAAGGACTTCAGTGTATAATTTCATGACAGCCTGTGACACAGGTTCATTTATTCTTCCCATCTGACAAATGGGGCAACTGGGATTCATAGAGGTTAAGTAGCTGTTCCCAGTTTTCACAGTCATTAAGTAGTGGAACTGGGAATTCTGGCTTTACTATAACCTCTACGCTATACTAAATCTTAACCTCTTTCAAAAAGTTGAATTGACAAAGTCTGACAACCTTAGTAGAATGGCGAACACGAAGGTCTAGGAGGTTTTGTGTGATTGAGAAGTCATGGTGCTATTAACCAAAGTAGAGAAGTAAGGAGAAAAGGGAATTAGTTAAGGGGAAGAAGAATGAGATCTGACTTGGTTGTGCAAAGCACAACTTTAGGTGCCAGTGAAATATCCAGGAGAGATTTCCAGAGAGCCAACTGAATTAGAGAGAAAGGCCTGGGCTTGAGATATACTTCAAGATAATCTGCAGAGAAGGGAGATTCTTCTAAATTGCAAAATAATTGTTGACCACATCATCACCTGGCACACAGGGAGTGGTGACGGGAGCACACTCTTTAGTCCAACTTAATTTTTTATTTATTTTTTAAAAGATTTATTTATTTATTTATACAAGCACTGGGTACAGTCAGAAGCGCGGGAGGGTGAGAGAATTCACCAGAGCCAGAGCAGGGAACAGAACAGGCAGACTGATGAAATACACTGCTGAGGGGAGCAGTGGGTGGCAGGAGAGGCCTGCACGCCATGTGGGACCCTCACCGGAGGCCAGGGATCAAACTGGCACTGCAGAGGCTGCGGGCAGCTTCACAGCCCACTGCTCAACCACTGCACCACCAAGGGAGGCCCCCAACTTAATTTTTTAAAGTAGCTCCAACATGTTTGGAAATGGAAGGGATTATGCTAAGCAGAATAAATCAAAAGGAGAAATATAGACACTAAATTGTTTCAAAGTAATAGACAAAAACAAACCCTTGAAATCAGAACTGAGGCTGCCAGAGGTGGTGAGTTGGGAGTGTAAAGGGGAAACGAGTGTCAGTGGACTGAGGTAGAGGCTTATTTGTGCATTGATGCTGAGAATGATTTGGCAATACACATTTGAAGAGGTGTAAACCTAAAACTTATAAATGTTGTAAATCAATGTGATCTCACTACAAAAATAATTTAGGGAGAAAAAAACCATTGTTTTTCCTCATTACAACATTAACATAATCATTCTCCTTCCTTTACCTGGAAAAAGAGAACCTAGTGATTATTTAACTGTTCTCAGGGAACTTTCCACTTTCCTTACAGATCTTCTAGAGGTTCCCTTGAGTAGCTCTGATTTAATTTTGTAATGGTTGATACTTAAAAAAACACACACACTGAAAATAATTGTGCAGCAGATTAGGTTATCACAGACTTGAATTTGTGTTGAAATTACAGCTTCTCCTGGAAATTAAATCAGTTTATAGAGCC